CCCCCCCCAAAAAAAAAATCCAGGAGTGTTATGTTCTTATTCTTCAATTCCAAACTACATTTACCTTTTTCAGAAACCTTTGAAAATATCAAGTCAGCAGAAGTAAGCATTAGAGATGCCAAATCCAACCATCTTCCCATAACAATACATTCTTGGGCTTCAACGCAGAGTCTATTAACTTGTGCCTCAGCAGCCTAAATATCAACAAACACCAAATAATAAGCCCCACGACTAACGAATAACATGCGACAAGTTGATTCATTGTATCAAAAGGCAGAGTGCATTTCGGTTGATTGACATCATGGACAAAAAAAAAACTCAAATAATCGCACTTGAAATAAAGAGGAGAAAAATAAAGTCCTCGTTTTGCCCATCGTCGGGCAGACAAAAGATAGTATAAAAACAACACGAATTTCACTCGACTGTTCGACTATGAACAAATGAAAAGGCACCAAGAATCTAATCGCAAGCCATCCTGACATAGCAAAGATTATACAAATTACGCAAAGGAACTAGTATCCTCACAGAGCGCATTAACCAACGCTTTCTCACATCTTCCGACGTCTATGAAAATACATAATCTTCGTCAATTACCAGAACTACACATACGAAAGAACGCATCATGCAGGCTCTCCAAATCGCAACAGCTTACCATATTTTTCAAGTTCTGAGAGAATAAATCAATAACCATATTCCTCAATGAAATTAAAAAGAAAACCTAAAATAGACGGTGGAGCAGCGAGAAACAAATCTCGATGAAGGTGTAAGCTTAGTGCCAGCCACAAACTCAAGACATGGACGGCGCCGCAAACGCACCAAATTGAATTGAAAGAGAAAGTAAAAGAATAAAAACTGGGAACCTCGGAACCGGCGTCGGCCCAAGCGAGCTCAGAGGCAAAGCGAACGACAGTGAGCGCCGCATCTTCCTCAGATGTTTGAACGATAGTCGCCATTGTAGAACCTCTGAAACAAATCCAAGGTCCGATCTTCTCCTCCCTTCACTTACAGCAGTAAGGCGCCAAGGGAGGCTGCAGAAAACCCTAGCTGATTAAAGCTTCTGATTCTCACGTAGAATTGAGAGCCCTTTTTCCCTATAAATTCCATTTTTCTGTTTTATATTTAGCATTTATAATAATAATAATTTTTTTTATTTTTTTATAAAAGGGGGAAAACGTTGTATAATAACCATTGTGTCGAATATAATTATCTTCTACTGCCATAATTTTCTTTAACTTCTAAAATCACTCTCTTTTAAATAAAAAAAAATTAAAAAAAAATTATGCCAATTAAATGGTCTTTCAAATATAATAAATCTACACGGTAAAATTTTTAAAATTAATTAAAATAATTATGAGAGTTTTTCAATGGCTAGGAAAGGAACGCGTGGATCTCCGCAATGAAATAATATTGACAAGATAATATTATCCACTTTGAGTCTAAGTTCTAGTGAGTTTGTCTTTAGTTTCTTCAAAAGACCTCTTCATATGTTTCTCCAAAAGACCACTTCATATGAATGAAAATGTATTTCTTATAAACTCCGATCAATCCCTGGACTCACTCCCAACGATTTTACTAAATCTCAAGTTTTTAATAATAAATTTTAACCCAAAAAAAAAAAAAAAAAAGTAAAAAGTAAAAAGTACAATCATCATCTTGTTGATTAAGTCTAAGTTTAAGACATGATCTTTCTTTAAATTTATGTTCAATTTGAGAATGGTGTGATATTCAGAAAGGGTGGACTGTCAGTTTCAGAATTGAAATTAATGGCGAGAGCCAAACATAAGAGTTCATAAACAGGCAAATGCCAGAGATTCAGAGGAGAACAAGATACAATAATCACTTTTGTTTCAAACACAGCATCATGAAGTGCCCATCAGCACCCGCGCATGCCTACAGTTCTGACCATGAGGAGACAACCTCGTGCATAAGTAGAAATATATAATGTTCTAGTTTACATATGATAGCCACCAATAGTGGGTCTTTCTTGGTTCTTAACCAACTTAGCTCTTGCCGTTTCCGAACAGGAAGTCCAGAGAAGATCCGCCACCAGGTGCAGCGTGAACCTTGGTCGATGGACGATCCTGTCAATACATGCACCAACGTTTACATTCCAATGGTTATACATATAAATGAGGATTCAGATTTGATATAAAGCCATAATCATCCATTGATTCAGATTCAGAACACTTTGACGAAGCATTCTTCAGAACTTTCAGATTAAAAACTGAATCTTTCTCAGATCAACAGTTGAAAGTGTCATCCACTATAATTAGTGATGTGTTTCTGTAGTATTGAGGATCTCATCCGTACTTAATTGTGAGATCCCACATCGGTTGGAGAGTAGAACGGAACATTCTTTATAAAGGTGTGGAAACCTCTCCCTAGCAAAAGGGTTTTAAAATCTTGAGAGTAAGTCTGAAAAGGAAAGCCTAAATAGGACAATATCTGCTAGTGGTGGGCTTGGGCGTTACGTTAATAATTAACAGATGTTCTTGGGCACATCTATTGTTACTAGAATCTTTTCTTTGGTTATGTCCCCAAGAAAGAAGTTCTAAGAAAATGGTGGGTGAGAAGCTCCTGTAGATGTAACGGGTACACTGCTTTCTTCACCCTTTGGTTTATTGAGACATCAATCTTCCTAATGTTTCAGGAATTTCCTATCTGCCTACTGTATTAGCCTTTCTCTCTAGAACAATGGCCTGAGTTTTCTCCTCTCTGCCTTCACTTTCGGCCCATCACTCGCCATGATTATCAAAGATTGTACCAACTTAAACATTTTTTAAACACAGTTAACCAATTAGTAAGGTCAAAGGGAAAAAGATTGTCCAAGCATCGGAGAGGGGAACAAACCATTCTTTATAAGGGTATAGAAACCTCTCAGATGTGTTTTAAAAACCTTGAGGGGCTGAAAGGGAAAGTCCAAAGAGGATAATATCTACCAACGGTAGGCTTTGACTGTTACCGTTAAGGTGTTACAAATATGACAGTGGAAGGTCAGGATAGTTGGTGAATAACTATCAGCACAAAACATTTCAATCCAACAAGAAAACAAAGAGCCTACCGTGATAAAGTTGCCACAGTTCTGTCCATCTGCTCTATGGTAATTGTTAGTATGATTCCCCGGAATGCCAGCAGGTATGTGTTTATCAGCAGGTTGTGAAGTAGAAGAGGTAGGCTGAGAAGATCCATTGGGTTTCTTAGAAGCTTGCACATTGTTGGCCGGCTCTCCACCTCCAAACAGGTAGCCCAAGGAGCTCTGTCCACCGCCGCTGCTAACTCCACGACCCATTTTCAAGCCTTTTGTTTCTCCTGTTAACACAACAACATATGACCCCGATGTAATTATAGTGATAACACATTTAACTATTAGACTATATAAAGAGAAAAAGGGGGCATACCGTAAAGGAAATAACATCCAGAGAAGTCAGAGGGAAATAAAGTTATAGGCATAAATTGCCAATATCATACATTTGGCATATACAGCAACAGTATATATAAAATGCATGCTTGTTTAAGCACAAAATCGTGATCCAAAGGCTCTTGTTGAAGACTATCAACCCAATTCTGAAATTTAGTTAATAAAATATCAGGGTAAAGAGCTACGATGACCATTTGGCCCTTGTTGACGTCTACCAAGCCGGCTCTACATTATTAATAGTATTTCAATGAATAAAAGAGGAAGGTACAAAGCTACAACCACTGATGAACAAAACTAGATGAAAAAAATCTATTGCACATCTTCGTGAGCAGCAAGTTCTTAATTTAAAAATGGCTAAATTTTAAAAAATGTCTATTCTTTCAAAAGTTGCAATGTTACCTTTGACCATGTTTAAAATCTACCATTCGAATAGAAAAACTATTAGAATATTGGACGAAAAGTCAATGTTTCTTACAAAACATTTTGGTAGTTTTGAAATGAAGGTCCATGATAATATTCCAACTCACAAAACAATATGGATATTTTTAGTTTTGCAGTTCTCTTTGTGGGTGAATTGGCAACTTTGTTAATCAGCTGACAATGAACTAATACCTACATCATTTACTATAACACTTAGCAAACTGCGAACCACATGGTATGAATTCTTCATTTCTATGCATGATTCATATCATGCTTCAAATATTCCCAGTTTCTTCTTACAGATCCACTACAAACAAGTGTGCTATAATTTTGAGCTGACACAGCATCCAGCAACAAACATTTCAAAATTTCAACATTTCAATCGATTCAACACCGAAACAAGGATCACATTTCAATTCAACCTCATCAAAGATCAAAGAACATAAATCAAATTGGTAAACGAAAACAATGTAGACAGTGAATCAAGTATATCATGAAGGTACGTACAAAGACGGAAATGGAGTGCGGGAAAATAGCAACAAATGATCAGATCGGCGAACAAAACCTTAAAGAAATGTGGATCTGAAATGAGAAGGTGAAGATTTAAAGCTTGTACCTCAAAAATGTTCTGTGAATGAAAATGGGCTCAAAAGGAAGAGATAAGGAGGCAGACGATGGAAGACAGCAGAGCACCTTTGCAACACAGGCCACAACCAGAGAACCTGAGATGCTATTAAATATTATTTTCAAATTTTCAAATCTTATTATTATTGTTCTTATATTATTATAATTAAAACGGAAATTAGTCGGAAATGCAAGGCCACCGGATCTGTCGGTGGAACCAATTTAATAAATAAATTATGCTCTCTCTCTCTCTCTCTTTTTTATTTTATTTTTTATATTTTTGAATTTTCAAATTTTTTTTTTTGGAAGAACATAGCTCGTTTTAAATTGATTTTAATTGAACAGAACCCAAACAATTTATGGGTATAAGTTGTTTTGTTCTCCCACTTTTCGTGTGTGGTCGTAGGTGGCTAATCAACTTGAAAGCAATTCTATACAAGAACTGGAATCCCCTTATATTTAGCTAATCAACTTGAAAGCAATTCTATACAAGAACCGGAATCCCCTTATATTTAACCAAGTCGTCTCTTCTAAGTTGAAAATGGCTATTAAGTTAGTTGAAAATGGCTATTAAGTTGATATTAGTCACCTTTAACACGTGCAGACAGTTGGATCAGATGAGTTCAAATGGCTATTAATTTAATATCGATCACCTTTAACATATGTGGATAATTGGATTAGAAGAGTTCAAATGGCTATTAAGTTGATATCAGATGAGTTCGAATGACTACTAAGTTGATATCAGTCGCCTTTAACACGTGTAGGCATGACTATTAAGTTGATATCAAATGAGTTCAAATGACTACTAAGTTGATATCAGTCACCTTTAACAAGTGTATGCATGACTATTAAGTTGATATCAAATGAGTTCAAATGGCTATTAAGTTGATATTGTCACCTTTTAAGATGCTCACTAGATGTATATTATAATTGTTTATCCTTAAAACAATATATTTGTTGCTGCAAAAATTCCTAGGGACGAAGGGGAAAGCAAACAAAAATCCCCTAAATCCTCCCAGAAACAGAAACAAAGAATGAGCATACAAATGTAAAAGGAAGCATGATTCATTTTTTAATCAAGTAACCAGAACTTTTACTGTTCTTGCTGTTTAATGAGCCTATACATTATTCATATGTTCTGACCTTACGATCCGGGCGACGATTTTCACAGATTTCTGAGTCGTTTCCGAGTCGAGTGATGCTATGATGGTGTTTTGATCTTTGAGATCTCTACCAATAGCTTGTTTAGAGCTTGAGGCTTTGAGAAGAAAGGGGAATGATCTGCACCTTTTAGCCGAAAGACCTGTTGTGGGGGGCTTTTGTTTATCATGCTGTCCTGTAATGTGATGGGAATGGCATTGTCTTCTGGAGTTTCTATGTAAAACCGCTTGACCAATCCATAGTTTAAGTCTGTAAGGCAGAGCTTCTCCAAAATAGGCGCAAATGGCATCGGTCTCATTGATACAGACGCCAGAGCCACATCCTGGACCAAGAATACAAACGGCCATGAGCTTGTATGAAACGAAAGAGGCAAAAGAACACGAGCAACGGTTAATGTTGAACACGACCAAAATCACTCCCAAACATGTCGTTTAGCTTATGGGGAAAAAAGTATGCATATTCAATGTTTCTCAACCCCATTACCTTGGCAGGACATTGATTGAAAAACAAGTCCCTCAACAACGATTTCTCGAAGTTAATAGAGGTTGGAGGACGGTCGTTCCCATTTGCGTATGAAAATGTCTGAGCCCGCCGCATTAGATCATCTGCACCAGCCTGCAGTAGGCAGACAAGACACCATTTGTTAAGAACCACGCATCTCCACGTTGGTATGATATTATATTGTCCACTTTGAGCATGGTCCCTTAATTAGTCGATGTGGGACTCCTCTCTCAACGATCCTCCCCTCGAACAAAGTACAACATAGAGCCCTCTCTTAAGGCCTATGGAGTCCTCGAACAAAGTCACATTTTGTTCGACACTTTTGACTACATCTTCAAAGCTCACAACTTCTTTGTTCGATATTTAAGGATTCTATTGACATGACTAAGTTAAGGGCAGGACTCTAATAGCTTGTTAGGAATCACGAATCTCTACAATGGTATGATGTTGTCCACTTTGCGCATAAGCTCTTATGCCTTTGTTTTGTGTTTCCCGAAAAGGCCTCATACCAATGAACATGTATTTCTTACTTATAAACTCATGATCAACCCCTTATTTAGCCGATTAGCCGATGTGGAATTCCTCTCTCAACAATCCTCACCATAATTCACAACATAATTCAGATACCTCAACAGAATATGTATGTATGAATCACAGATTAACAACAGATTAGAATGCATACCTGCTGAGAAAACATGTCTAAAGTGTTCTGTCCATTACTCAACATTGCTGCAGCGATGAATATGGCTTTTGAAATTCTAAAAGGAAATAACTCCATTGCATATGCTATACATGCACCGCCAAAATCATGTCCCACCAAGATAACCTGCATGAATAGAGTAAGGAAGTTCCAAAATATGAGGAAGGAAACAAAAACTTTTTCAGTAAAACTAGCCTTTGAGGAAACCTAGACGGGAAAGTCCACATAGAACAATATCTACCAGCGGTGGACTTAAGCTACTACATATACCAGGCGATGTGCCAGCAAGGAGGATGAGCCCAAAAACGGTAGACACGAGGAGGTGTGCCAACAAGAACGTTGGGCTCTAAAGGGGGTGGATTGGGGAGTCCCACATCGATTGAATATGGGAGCAAGTGCCAGCAAGGACGCTAGGCCCCGAACGGGGTGAATTGTGAGATATCACATCGGTTGGGGAGGATAACGAAATCTTTTTATAGGAGTGGGGAAACATCTTCCTAACATAGCGTTTTAAAAACTTTGAGGAGAAACCCAAAAGGGAAAGCTAAAGAGGATAATATCTGCTAGTTGTGGGCATCGTCGTAACGAGTTTTAGATTTTTACCTCTAAGCTCTATCTTGATTAAGGAACAACATCAGAAACATTAAACAGAACTGAAAAAGAAATTAATGGATGAGTTCAAAGACCTTTTCTCCCTCAGGAAGCATTTGAAGGAAATCAGTAAGCGGGTGCACATATTGCAAAAGACTTGTGATGCGATTAGGATCAAATGAATGAACTCCAGAACCAGCTAAATCTATGGCAGTAGCTTTGTAACCCCCTTCTTCTAGAAGTGCTATGGTTTTATACCAACACCAAGCACCAAAGCCACCACCATGGACAAGAACAAAATGATTCGTTTCTATATCCTCAAGTTTTACATTCTGCATGAACAGAGGAGAAACCGTCAAAACAAATGAAATCAAGCAACCCATTCCGAAATGCAGAGACTCCATCAATTCATGAACTAAAAAAAGAAGTAAAACCGTTCACAAAAGGGGGTTTAGTCACAACCTCGCTAACAAGCTGATGAGGCTGAAGCAGGGGATCGGTAAGAGCCCGAGCCCGCGAACTAGAGCTCCTCGGCAGAGTGTTGCTATTCTTCGACCCTGATTTCGGGTACCGGACCGAAGTGGTCCGATCAAAAGGGTCGCGGCCATTCTGCTGTTGAAACAGAATCGCGGCGGCGAGAACTTGCTCTTGAGTCAGAGCAGCATCGGATTTTTCTTTCCTGGAAAAACGAACTCGGGTCCATCTTTTGGTAGAATTGGTGGTCGGAGGTGGGTTGTGAAGGCGCTTGGTGGGTTTTTTCTTCATTGATTTGGGTGCGAGACAGGCACATAAATTACCCATTTTCGGAGCATAAAGTGCAAAAACGAGATACGAATTGAAAAAAGTGTCAACGAAGAAGACGAACACCAGTGGTGGCGATGCGATAGAGAAGGATGCTAAAGTGCGTGCCACTTTCGGTTGAAGACGATAGACGGAAATTTATACTTTATTTTTAGTGGAATAACCGATAATATTGTAAAATATATTTTACAATTTCAAATTTTGGGTTGGACCTTTAAGTCTATTATTGTACTTTAGCTTCTTTCCATTTGAAGTTCATGAATCTAACATCTTACTACCACGGTCAATGTCGTTCCTTCATACCCAAGATGCTCACAACGTGCGTCAGTACTTCTAACACTACCATAAGAAATGCTATTGAGACTAATACTATGAATACTATCGAACTCCACGATAGATAAGGAATATTGTTAATACCAGAGTCAATGATGTTAGTGTTTTCACTACGTAGACTGCTGATAGACCGATTTTATTGACTTAATGCTCTCCTTCATGAATAGGCAACATGGGCTAAATCAAACATGAATAGATTCTTAGGTTTGAGGATTTAGGTCACAATATAAAGCAGAGATGGAATTGTTTGGTTGCAATACGACTTAGAACTTACTGTGTAAATTCTATTGAGAGAAGGATTTTGAGTTAGATTACAAATGTTATACTAAATTATTGTTGTAATTAACCTAATAAACAACTAGCCTTTAAGCTCAAAACGTGTTTATAAAAACGATACATGAAATATGTAAATAAACTATAAGATACTCGATCTTGGTTCTAATGATGATGGGTCGATGAGAAATGGGCAAATGAGAAAGGGGGTTTTGGACCACTTGTTGGTGTAAGGTATAAAAAGGGGTAATAACATGATAACATAGCATATGTTTCACACTTGGAGCCAACCAAAGATAAAATCAATCATGTGAAGGTGTAATAATGGGTTCCAATTTTGTGCACATGATCCAAGTGATCCCCATATGCTTGGGCTTTCAATTCCAACCCCTCCTCAAAACCCTTTTTCAAACCCACTTTTTCCTTTAAAATTTGGCCGGTTTCTCCCTCCAACTAATGTGGGATCTTACAATATCCACGAGATGTTGGGCGAGAGAATGAAACACTCCTTGTAAGGGTGCAATAATATCGGTTACTAGTGGGTTTGGGTTGTTACAAGTGAAATGACTTAAATTGAATTATCGAGTATCGAATTTAATTAAACGATACGAACCCTGATTGATCGAATGTTCGAGAATTGAAAATAAAGTGAAACATGAAGATGAAAAAGAATGGCTTTCACAACAATCTAGGCCAAGTCCTTAGGCATTATAATTAAGGTTGCTACAAGTTGTACCAATTTTTTTATGGGTTTATTTGTGGTCCAAAAACTTCAGTTAGGATCAACCGATACACATGAAAGCTGAAAAAGTTTATTTATTATTATTTATTAAATAAATAATAATCATATTATTATTATTATTATTATGGTGATGTGTTAGGGATTTTGGAAGTGGGTCAGCAGTGGGAGAGGATTAAATATATATATATATATTTTTTAAAAACTTTAATTTTCATCATTGGTTTTTTTTTTTTTTTTTTTAATGCAATTTCTTATGAGCTATGATCAATTTTATTTATGGATTATATTGGTAACCTTTTCCCCTTTTTGTTTAGTATTTTTATTAATTTAATAAAAAATCAAAATACATTTTCATTCACAAGGCCCATAAAAGAAGAGATGGGCCTAATAAGCCCATAAAAGAAAAGATGGGCCTAATAAAGCCCAAGATTTAGGGTGCTAATTTTGAAATAATTGTTCATCACACTCTTAGTCAATATGATTAATCATTTTCTGATTTTTTATTTTTAAAAATGATATTTTTTTTCTCTCTTTATTTTTATCTTTTTTTTTTTTAATTCTTAACGAAATAAAAAAAAAAAGAATAAATTTCAAAGGGTTTGAAAGTCGCAATAAAAGAAATAATTAAAATTATTTATTTATTTGTTTTTAATAATGTGATAAATTAAGTAAATAAAATAATTAAGTCAAAAGAAGATTTGGTCATCTCCACGGAAAAAAAAAAGCATGTGAGTTTGTAGATCCCAATGAACTGTCAATTTTGAAGACTATCATTTAATAATTGATTTATATCAATTTGTCAATATTTACATCAAAGAATTTCCAGACACACCCACATTTATTCTTTTCTTTTTTCTTTTTTCTTTTTTTTTCATTGGAAATATCAAATCAAAATTGTTAACTCATTTTTTATATTAATTTTTCTTTACCTACCACTGATAAAATTATCCAAACATATTTCAATTCATGCTGCACGGAAAAAGAACGAAGATTCTTGAGTGGATTACAATTTAGAGTAATTTAGAATTATTCTATTTAATTAATATAATTTAAGACTTTTTATCTACCTTAAGTTACATTTACATACCGGTTAATTATAGCCATATATGTTGTATTTGTAAGTAGGCTTGAAAAAATATAGTAAAAGAAGTACTTGTGCTTCAATGACTAAGCTTCTTTGCAATTATAGATAGTTTAGGTTGCATGTACAATCATTCAAGGTCGACAAGATCAATCTTGCTTGTGGAGTGATCAACAAAAATCATTCAAGCTAGATATGATCGATCTTGCTTGTGAGTGATTCGAATCTCAAACAATATTTTTTACTTGAAATATTCGATCAACAAGGTAATCTGAATCTTACTCTCTTTGAGTGATTTCATATTAAAAATAATTATAAATAATTGACTATTGAACGTATAAAGAAATAGGTTCAACCCACCTCCTATTGATTAGGTCAACAAAGCTAGAAAATGAGTAACTTCAAATGGTCCCGAAATTTTATATATCTAATCAAAATTATAAATTATAGAACGAAACAAATTTATTCCTCAAATTAAACATCAAAATAATAAATTAAAGTTTTATTCAACAAAATAATTACATCATTATTAAATAAACCTACGACTATGATTGAGATCCCTAAGATCTTTAAAATTTAATTTCTCTTCATCACTTTACTCTACGACCGTGAATTTACCCAACAATCCCAAAACGCTCCAATGAAACTTTCTAAAACGTAAGGTTGAGGAATTACAACGAGCAATTATTATTTGTTAAATTCGTTGAACATTTCGAAAAAACAATGAAGCTGATAGAACGTAAATCAATAACTCGACATTTATCGATTTGAAAATGATTGAGAAGACACGAAAAGAAGTAAAAAAAGGACCCGGGAAGCATAAACGTCGTTATACATAGGTGGATTAAGGCATGATTATGAATAGAGTGAAGGTAGAAGGCAGATCATGTGTATAATTTGTGATGATGCTTGTTGGAAGGTAGTCAAGAAATGATGGAGATGGCTAGGTTTGGTCCCTGCCCCCTGCCCCCTGCCCCTCCTGCCCCGCCTGCCCCCTCTGCCCTTTGTGTTGAATTTTTAATTTTTAATTTTTAATTTTTAATTTTATTAAGGGAATCAATCACACATGTGATGCCCTCCCTTTTTCCATGTGCTTTTGCATCCCCTTTTCCCATTTTAAATTCACGTCCATTTCAAAATTATCCACGTCATATATATATATATATATATATATATATATATATATATTTGAGAATGTAATTATTGGTAATAATTTTGGTGGTGGTGACATAAAAAACATTAATTTTCTTCAATCTTATTTAATTTCTATAAAGAAAAAAAAAACAAATACTTATTTAATTCATAGGATTTAAACATGGTATACTTAAAATAATATATTTCAAATCACTCGTTATATTTAATTTTTTAATTTCGAGGAAGCTTCTTATTACTTGCTATGGAAGTTTAATTATCTCTAATTTTATATAATTTTTTCGTAACGTTCATTTATTTATTTATTATTATTTTGTTTGAAATATTGTATTTATTAATTTAATTTGTGGGTAGAAGCTGAGTTTGAAACGTATGAAATATTCGTAACTTGGAATTAATAAGTTCACAATTTTCAAACTATAATAACCCAAATGGCATATAAATGGAAAAAATCATCGAATAAGTGAATAATTTATTAAAATAAAATTTAAGAATTTTGTTTATTATCCACAAAATAAAAAAATTAAAATTTGAATAAAATTTAAAAATTTAGAAAATTTAGGGTAAATAAATACAAATGTCAAAATTAAAAAAATTATAATTATAATTTAAGTGGCCATTATTGTTTGATTTCCCTAAACACAAATATAAATGTAATAATTAAAAGAAAAAAATGATAGAAAGTGGTGTGTTGGTTGGATGTCCTTTGCTTGTACTTCTTTGTGTCACCATTGCTCACTAAGTCACATGGAACATACATTATTTATACATCATTTAAGAACCTGAACCCGAACCCCTAAAAATTTTAATTTTTAATTTTTCTCGACATTTCTTTACATCTACGATATGGTCACGTTACTTACTTTTCGTCTCTTAAGAGTGAAGGTCTAAGTAAAACACACTTAATCATGAAATTTCTATGATGAAGTCATCGAAAAGGAAGGTGCACATTGTAACTTTAAGATCCTATCCATAGAACGTATTTCATTTGGATGTGCTATCGGTTCATTCGTGTAACTCTCATTTACTCGGGTGTCACATAAACTTATTAAATACGAGTAAGAAATTTAAGAACTAAACTTATTCGGGTGTCTTTTCCGTGGTCGTTTTATGGTACCTTACAAATGATTTATAAAAAGTTAAAAGAAAATTAGGAAGGGATTTTGTATTGTTTGAACACTGGCTTGGATGTATTAAGAAAAATTAAAAGTACAATTTTTTTTTTTTTTTTTTTGTTGGTTTGCAATTTCATGGATCGTACCACAGTAGCTTCTTGGAAGATTTCATTTCGTGTATTATTTAGGGTTCAATCATAATAATAAATGAAAACTTAGGGTCTTGGCTTTTAGCAATGATTATTATTTGATAATTCGCCTCAATCTACGAAAGTATTTCGTTGGATTCACATGCATATGTTTATGTTTAGATTCGAATATATGAGCTAGAGATGAGTTTATTGAAATCGTCACATCTTATTTTAATTAGAGATGTTCACAAGACAAGAGTGAGGATAGAGAAACCTTTTTCATCTCGTCTTCAATCTCTATCTACAAAGGAATTTTCTATTTACTTTTGCATAGATCAAGACAGAGATTCTTCACAAAAATTTTGTTAGGATTGGATTTGCAGGTCTTAGTTTTGTCCCTATACCCGGTTTAGTTAACAACGAGAAATCTCTCCTTAGTCCTTCTCTTATTGTTCATTCCGTGAACTAAATGAACATCACCTGTTCTAACATAAATGTTGGTGTAACTACTTTCTTTTCCGATAACATATGTCTTAATCAGCTGAGTTATGTTTAAATTGGATCGTGTTGGATTTGAATTAAAGTATTAGTTCAGGGAGTTTGTTTGTTTGTTTATGCTTTAGTTGTTGGAAAGATTAGGTGGATTGTGTTGATGAATGTAAACTTGGGTTGGTAGAGTTGTTTTTGCTTCAATGAAGCCTTTGAGTGAATGCACATGGATTTACTTCTATCTTTGCTTCAATTTCTTTGTTTATCATCAAATTCTCTTCCCTTTTTCCTTTTTCCTTTTTGCCTGTCTTCTAAATGCATCATAATAAAAGGGTATCGTAAAGAATCATACATTTTATAGTCACGAGTAAAGCTATAACAAAATATAGCGGAAGAAAAAGATTCCCGTAATATATTATACCATTAAAAAATGTAATATAAGTTTAAGGTATAATAAACATATTATAGATTTAATAAAATAAAATACTATAACGTTATGAAAAGTTTCGAACTTTTAAACTTTTTAAGAGTATCCGACATTAAAAAGAATTATTATAAAATTTTTCGTTAGCTATCGTATTTATTATTAATATTATTATTATTTTGTTACTTTGAAATTGAATGATGATTCCTAAAAAGAAGTGTGAGAAAGGAATACAAATTTGATAATAATAATGATGGATCCATAAGGTGTGTGTTTAAGATGAACATGGTTTTACCGACCAGAAAGAGGGGTTGGATAACAGAATACTAACTTGCTTGGCTTTCAAGACTTCAGTAAACAACCTAACACTCAAAAATCAAAAACCCCTTTTACAGTATACACTCGCATATCTGTCGAGTATGGTTAGGACGGAAAGCCAAAAGTAAAGACATGAAAGTTCGCGTTCAAAGCAGATAATATCATACCATTGTGGAAGTTTGTGATTCCTAACATAGTATCACAGTTATACTCTTAACTTATCTATATCAATAAAATTCTCAAATGTTAAACAAAGAAGTTGTGAGATTCGAGGGTGTAGTTAAAAGTGACTCAAGTATCGAACAAATGGTGTACTTGTACTCTGTTTGAGGGCTCTAGAGAAGGAGTCGAGCATCGACTAAAGGGAGTTTGTTCGAGAACTCCGTAGGTATTAAGAGAGACTCCATGGTATGTTGTTCTAGAGGATGATGATTGAGGACTATTGGTATGAAGTCTTCCGAAGAAACTAAAAACGAAGAGCTTAGACAATGATTCCTACCTAACAAGATCAAGTGACATAGAAGGCAACCTAAATTAAACGAACCAAATTTCTTTTTGTTTTGGTTTGATTCTTCAGAAACGTGGAATGGCAACGGTTGAATAGGAAGGGAAGTTAGGGGGAGAGATTAGAGGTGAAGCAAAGCTTTTTCTTTTCTTTCTTTCTTTTTTGTTTGTTGGCAATACTTTTGTAGAAATAAAAATCCCACTTTCTTAAATTTTGTTCCACTTTTCTGACAGACACCACATGCTCTCCTCTCAAGTAGAGAGAAAGAGAGGGAGAGAGAGGGGTACCTCTGCTGCTGGCTGACCCACAGGCCTCCATCCATTATCTTCTCCGCCACATCAAAACTGTGTGGAAACCCCAAAAAATGAAAATAAAAATCCATTTCAGATCTGACCCACATCATCCATCCATCCATACATACTTAGATTAGCTTTAGCTTAATCTGATTTGGAATTCTCTCTAGAAATTCCCCTTCTTCCTCACACTCTGTTCATTTTTGTTCTATCTTTTACGTAATGGAGTAGACAAAAAAAGCTGTCACCAGAGCATCATTCTCTCTTTAACTGGCTTCTCGGCATTGGGTTTTGGTTTTTCTTCCATTTAAACCCACAACCAAACACACATACACACACAGACAGAGAGAACAGAGCTAGAGGATAAACCACTCGTCTTTTCGTGTTCTGTGAACAAACCTAAAACAATCCATATCTTACTACCCTTCTCATTCCCTCAAGTTTTGGACTTGTAGTTCTTCGAATAAGGTGGGGGCTACTACTTCTACTACTGCTGCTACTGCTACTACTGCTTAGAGCCTTGTTTGGTGGCCTCTGTTTCTTCAACCCTTTTGCTTCCTTCCTCTGTTAAAAAGCAGCCATTGTTTCTACCATTTTAACTCTTGAGCATTGTAGTGCTGAGAGAGAGATAACAGAAGGTGGAGTCCAGACAGAGGAGGGTGAAGGAAGAGATGTCTGCAAGGCTTACCTATTCCTTACCAGATGACAATCAGAGTCTTCATAAGCAAATTGGCTGCATGAATGGCATTTTTCAGATATTTGACCGGCGTTATATCCTCGGCGGCCGGGATATGGCCGGCCGCAACCGCAAGAAACTCCTTCCACCGCCAGGTGCATACTTCTGCTTCTACTGTAATTCTGTTTCGACCATGTCTCTTCTAATGAACACGGTCTTTTAGAGTCGTTTTTTTTTTTTGAAGTTTTTGCTGTTGGATTTCTTTGGCAGGTCATAACGAAGGCCACCAAATGGAGCCAAAAAGTGCCTCTGAGAGAACTCCGGTGAGCATTGAGCACGGAAGCAATTCAGTTGAGTTTTGGAAGTAGGCTTGTTTGTTTATGAAGTACATGTTTTTGTTCAATTGCAGGGGAAAAACCAGAAGAAGACTACGAAGGAGAAACAAAGAGCCTCCACAGAGTCATCCAGAACCTCGTTTTCTTCTACAACTTCATGTTCTTCAAGTTTTTCATCTCTTGATGCTAACAACAGAGCAGCTCACCTCGAAACAACGTTGCCCAGCCATGTCGATTTTCCTGGAAACAAAATTCGGGAGTTTCTGAAGAACCAACATAATGCTGCTGCCGCTGCTAAGCAATTGGGCTGCCAATCCTTGGAGTTCCGGGATATTGTCAAGGACAATATGAACAAAGAAGCTTGTAGAATTTCAGTCAGGACTGTGGCTGGAGAAGCAGTGAATCCTAAATTAAAACATGTGGACTCTCCAAGACCGGTGAGATCGGTCGAGTACCACGATTCAAAGAATTCGGGATCGAACGATTCATTTCGTGTTCTTGCGAGGTTGCGAGAAGCAAACCGATGTGCCAATGAAGAGAACGACAATCCTACACATTCAGCACATAAGTTCAATAGGAGGCTCTCTTATGATGGAAGGGAGTCTTATGATACATTGAAATCAACCATAAAGATAAGGGAATTACCAAGGTTATCACTGGACAGTAAAGAAAGCTGGGCTAAGCGCTCTGTTTCTGGAACGAGATCAAATGATCTAGTTAAGGATTTGCAGAAAGGTAACAGGGATTTCGAAGAACCGGCGAGTTCGAGACAATCGTCGACGGTCATAGCAAGGTTAATGGGATTGGAGGCTCTCCCAGATTCAACTTCAACCATCAACAGTCCATCAAGATTGATCGATGTTTACCAAACGTATGAACAAAATTCATTGTCAAGATCATCAAGGATGAATGATGATGAGAACAAACAACAAAGTCGGGTTTCTGGGTCCCCAAGAATTTCTCATGGAGATTCATATTCACCCAGCTTGAGAAACAATCATTTGGGTTTGAAGCCCAATGCAAGTGCAAAGCTTAAGGTGGAAACTACACAGAAGAGCAAGCTCAATAGAAAAGGAGATTTTAAAGAGCCAACTACTGAAAGCCATGAACTTGCTACAGATGTGCCAAACTCCTCTGTTTATGGAGAAATTGAGAAAAGGTTGTCAACGCTTGAATTCACCAAATCTGGAAAAGATCTCAGAGCTCTAAAACATATACTCAAAGAGATGCAAAAATCTCGAGCGACGTCGGACAACAAGGAACAAGCATCGGACTGTGCATCACAAATTAGCACGGATGGAACCGTTGATCAGAATCGCAGTTCCGGGGCAGCAAGCCCAAGAAATTCACAACTCAACAGCACGGCTTCTTCTGCCAGAGCCAAGGTTTCTGGCTCTTCAAAGCCATATAAATCCTCAATTATCATCATGAAACCTGCTAAATACTTGGGAAAAACCAGCAATTCTTCTCCCTTGATGCCACCATTCAATGATGCATCGGGTGATCACTACACAAGCAGCGGGAATGACCAGATGAAAATGATGTCTACCAAAGATATTGGTTCACGACAAACTCATCTGCGGTCCCTTCCCAGTCATTCACAACCTTTTACAGACAAAAATACCAACACAAGAATTTCGAAATCGACAAAGTCGACCAAGGATCAACATTGTCTTCACACAGAAACCTCAACAGCCTCGGGAAACAGTCCAAGAGTTACAAGCTCAAGACTGCATCAAAAGTTTGGGATAGAGAAGCAATCTTACCCCACCAACCCATCATCAGATTCATGCAGGATCGAAAGGGTTAACGGCAGAAAAGTGGGATCATATTCCACAGAAATAAAAGCCAAGCAAAAATCTCCCACTTTGAATCAGAAAAGCACCAAAAGATCAAGCAAAAGCAGCATATGCCCAGGGGATATGAATCAACAAGGAAGTGTTTACCCTCTGAAGCCCGAGAGCAATAGAGTTACATCAAACACCGATACAAAAATTGAAAACAACGAGCAGTTTGACAACACCAGAAGAAACTATGTCCTGCAGGATGATGATGGATGCGAACAAATGGTTAGTGTTTTCAATTTCATTTGCTTGCAGTGGAAATTTCAACTTACTGGTCTGATTGAGTGCTTATCTGATTAACATATTTCATTTTACTTTCTCAGAACGCAGAAATGAGGTTGAGCAACAGCGTTTCAAAGGTCAAAGCAACATTAACTAGCTCTGAGCAACAAAGTCCCGTCTCTGTTCTTGACTCTTCATTTTACCAAGAGGAGTCACCATCTCCTGTTAAGAAGATATCTTATGCTTTTGAAGGTATGGATCTCATACTTCAGTATTGTTTTTATCCACACACTCTAGGATGCATTTTCCTGTAAAGGGACATAATGACCAATAATAATTATGTTTCATTCTATAACATGACAAGAATTGAATTTTCATGCGATAGATGACGAGACCATAAATTCTGAAGCAGAGTCTAGCCGAGAGGTTCCAGTTCAATCACAGAAAAGCACAGAAACCCTCAGCTCTGAGATTAAGAACTTGAAATCAGAGATTGACAACTTGAGGAAGCACATTCGACAAGTAAATTTCAGTTACGAGGAGGAGGAGCTCTTGAATGATTGCCAGAATCATCCCTGCCAAGAAATGAATTCTCAGCACAAATATATTTGGCAAATATTATCAGAATCAGGTCTCCTCAAAGATCTTGACCATGGCCTGTCCGCAATTCATCTCCATTCACCAGGACACTTGATCAACCCTAACTTATTTCTTGCATTGGAGCAATCCGAGGCAGCCAAGTGGCCTTTTAATGGTGATACATACAGTAAACAGAACTCCAGATCAGAAGCCCGCAATAAAGTTCAGAGGAAACTTGTGTTTGACACTGTTAACGAACTTCTTTTGGACAAACTAGTGGTTGAACGTTCTTCCGAGCATTGGCCCACAAGAAGTAACATTTCAGGAACAGAATCAAGAGGCCAACAGATATTGAAAGAAGTATGCACAGAGATTGATCAGCTACAAGATAGCAACCAAAATAGCAGTTTCACTGGTTGTGATGATGCTACAAGAAACGTGATTTGGAAAGATTTGACGCATCCGTCGCACTACTGGGGAGATTACAAAAATAATGTACCTGGCATAGTGTTGGATGTTGAGCGGCAGATCTTCAAAGATTTAATAACTGAGATTGTAATGGACGATGAAAGCTTCTACGACTATCATTACAGGGGATCTCCTTCAAACTAGGGAATTCGCTTCAACTTAGATAAATAAATGTGCAGTCTATCCCTCACTTCCCCCTTCAAAGTCTGCATCTTTAGTTAGTTCTACAGGTTTAGGTTCATTTGAAATAAATCTTTCGGAAATTTTCTTCTTCTCGTGTACAGTCCCAGCAACCCTTGTGTGTGAATTTAGATCGTTGCTGGCATTAGAACTGTATTAAAAACAAATATTTACTGTATATGAAGGTAAAGGTATAAGTAGCACCCTCGTTTTCAAGTTCCGTCCAGACAAACTGCAAGGATCATTAGGCCATCATGAAACATCCAAGAAATATGACAGGTGTTGATGTGCACCACTGCAGAAACTTTCATTAGGCCATCTTGAAACATCCAGGTCCTGGAAGCTAGAAAGAAAAATGATAATATTTCTTATAATTTTATACCATAACATCGCACAGAACGCATATTTTCTGATCGTATAAGATGACAAACCCATGCCAAGAAATATGACAGGTGTTGATGTGCACCACCGGCAGAAAGTTTCTTTTTATAAAAGACTGATCCTCCAAGACATTTCCAAATAATTGGCAACGACAGGAGACTTATATTCAATAATCATTCCATACGTATATATCATGAGTGGACTTGAAGTCATACCACTTTTAACTGATCAAATAAGTGACAAAGAATTAAACTTTTCCCCATAACAAAAATCTCAGTTTCTGTAATTCTGTTCCTTCAAGTTCGTAATTTGGCAGATATAGCAGCTTATTTCACCGGATTCTATAAGATAGTGGAACGTTCAACCCCCTCTTGAATATGATCGAATATCGATCAGAGCAACTGAGAGACATGGTAAGAGTTCAATTATGGCCATACAAGGTCAGCTAAGAGAACATTTTCTACAAGCTCTTGAACGCATGCAAAGTCTAAGGACAAGTGCTACATTACAAACACTTGCAGGAAATAGCAAGAAAACGATTACCTGATGAAGATGTACACACAAATAATCAAAATCACAGTAGAAACAAGAAATCAGAAAGACGAGTTGGTATGGCATCTTACTATATCATATAACAGTAACTGTACAAACCAGTAAGCCAAAATATTATCATGAAAGAGATACTTGACTACAATTATGTCTTGTTTAGCATGGTGGTCACAGGTCATCAACACGTTCCAGTCACAGATGAATTAAATTGAAGAGAAAGAGACTACTTGTCCAACATTTAGTTGGACCTTGAGTGGAAGAGTTAAGTTTTAAGCAATAAAAGAATTTGTAAAATTTAAGCTCCATAATCGTCCAACACCTAACCAAAACCAAAATTTCAGATGTCTGTTTATTCCATGAGCAAAAACCAAAGTGAGAAAGAGGACGCCACATGACACAGCTAATATTACAAAGGGAGACAAACGAGAAATATCCAGACCCCAATTCTTCTATTAGAAGGAACTCCGTGGAGGGATAGCTAATATGCGAAGAAGAACAAATATGAACAAGAGATCCCTGTAACCAAAAAAATACCCTTGAAATCGCAATTACTATTAGATGTGGTTCTCTCTCTCTCTCTCTCTCTCTCTCGCTCTCTCTCTCTCTCTCGCTCTCTCTCTCTCTCCGTGGAGAAGATGATTCTTATACAAGACACATGTTAAACTATACTTTATCACATACTCCCTCCTTTTCTTTTGATATCCCTCCACTCAAAATGCGTTTCCAATTGAAAAATTCATTAGAGAAGAAGATGATTAATTCATAATAAACATGAGCATACCTGAATAATTTGCTAAATTAGAATCTCTCTTTCCACAAATTTGAATCTTTGCTAATATCCAACACAATACAGTGTCAGTGATTTTCACAACCTGGAAAAACTGCAGCCAGTCTCCTAAATTTCGTGTACAAATTTTAATCAGGCAACTTAATTACAACTGATATAGCTCATTGGAGTTCTCAATTGAGTTCTTCAGAATCTTCTCGGCCTTTCTTTTCTTGTCATCCTTCTTATCGTCCCCTACAAACCAGGATGAAGAGTTCTTCACACCATTGTTTAGCGCCTTCAATTCTATCATGCTACTTTCAGGCTTCTTTCCAGTCCCAATCTTGAACTGTACAGTGGATCGCCTGTTCAGAGAGAACTTTTCCTCAGAATCGTGCAAACTGTTCTTCAATGATTCAATAGCTGGAGCAAAAGTCTCCAGCACTGAGACATGGGTATCCACAAGACAGTTCTCCCTGGCAGGGACAGGATATTCTGTACTTGAATTGTTCAAGATCCTATCTGGAAGAACGACAGAAGAAACTTCCTTCTCACCAAATTGCAGGGGGGGAGCAAGAAATGGGTTACTTTCTTGTGTTTGTTTGGTCATAGCTGCATTTCTAGGGCCTTCTCTCCGGGATCCTTCCAATCCATTGCAAAACAACCACTGCTGCAGATTCCATAACGACTTTTCTGCGCTCTTACATTGTTTTTCCGGCTCAGTTTTAATTTTTTGAGGCTCCACTACTTTTTCCTCCACAGTGGGGGACGCGATGTATGTTTCGGGATCAGGAAGTGCAGGCAACCAAGAAGGTATATGCTTTCCAGGAGTTTCTTCCCCAGTTTGCAAAAAAGTAGGCCTCAGCTTTCTCTCTTTGACAACTGGAAATTTGGGAACTGCGTATGCAAATGGTATTTCTTCCGCTTGAGCAACATAACGAGCGATCTCTTTGACTGTGCTGGAACTTGCGAGACAACGTTCAATATCCAAAGCACCTGCAAATCCTTGGACTGACCCCAAATCTTCCAGTGCTTGAATTACATCGAACACATTACACTCCGTTCTGCCAGCAAAATTAGCACAGAAGTTTGCAGTCTTTCCTATATTCTGAACATACCGAACCGCAATGTCAGCCAGTGTTTCAAGGGCAGACTGCTGAAAGGTTTGAAACCCCTCGCTCTCACATATTTGAGCTACAGCAATCTTGGCAAGCGCCTGTGGGAAGTCTTCACCGCCCAAATTCTTTCTCGTCTTTGGTCGTTCATGCACTTTTCCACTCTCCCCACCTCCATCGTTCATATTCAAGCATTCATATCATATTATCTGCCGCAAGGATAACAACCAAAAACACCACTCTGCACAATTACCCAAAACTCCACGTCATTCACCGATAAATTAATTTCCCTCCTTGAAATTCGCTCATAAGGAGAAAGATCAAAAAAATCAAACTAAGAACAAGAAATTCCCCACATACTTCACTAGCTCTCGTAAATCAGACTTAAACGAAAATCTAAAAATAGAAAATCATACGCAGACGGAGAGAAAATACAAATTTGAGTAAATCAAAGCATTACACAAGTACAAAAAAAGCAATCCGAAGCTCAAAAGTTTCGCATCTGAGAAAACCCTAATCCATCTGACATGGAACTAAGAACAAAATTCGTTCAGAAAAACCCACAACTCAAACAAACTAAAAGGATCTTCAGCTCATGTACCATTAATTGCAAGGGCTCCCGGATAGATTTGAGATTGAATTAACAATGACTTGCCAAGTCATAAATCTGGAAAAAGAATGCGATCAAGTACCCAATTGAACGCGAACGAAGCCCTAGATCGCAGAAATGGAGGCTAGAATAACAGAATTGGCTGATTAAATTATGTACAGTAGGATTGCGGAAATCAGTGGGTAGAAATCTAAAACCCAAGCAAAACCCTGAGATCCAGAGAACGTCGAGAGAGATGGGAGGGAAGAAAGTCGGAACTTTAAGAGAACCGGGTAAGCAGTTAAATAGGCAACAAATGGGGCTGGAGATTATAAATTGTTTTTTTTTTTAATGTACCCTCTCATCACTTGACACCTGTCCCTATTTTTTTTAAAAAAAACATTGAAAATTTCACAAATTAATTAAATTTAATCATTGAATTATTGCCATTTATTAATAATATTTAGACAAATTAGATGTTGAAATTCATTATACTTTTTCAACGAGTTTCTATCTTCCATAACTAAAATTAATTTCTTTTTTATATGTTGAAATTCTTTATTGTTTATGTGTTTTTTCTTAGTTTAATAATGATGATATAATTTTATAAATGGGTTCAGTTATTAAATGTAATATATTCTTAATAAAAAAAATAATTTAGATAATTTATGAGATTTGATCACCATAAATATAAATTAAATTGTTTTAAATTAAAGTTTATTCCCTAAATCGTTACGGAATTTTTTGAGACATAATTATTGATTAAAGTGTATATTGGAGAAAGGTTCAAAAAATTTAAACTCAAATCTGAAGAATCAATCGATTTTGTTAAGCAAATGTTCAACATCTATAACAGCTCGAGACCATTACTAATAGATATTATCCGTTTTAATCTATTACATATCGTCGTTAGCCTCACAATTTTCGTTTCGTTCCCTTCCCCAATCAATGTGGGATCTCATATCCACCCCTTGGGGACTCACATCGCTCAATGTCTGGCTCTAATACCATTTATAACCGCCCGAGACCATTACTAGTAGATATTGTCTACTTTAGCCCATTACGTGTCACTATCGGTCTTGCAGTTTTAAAATGCGTCTACTAGGGAGAGGTTTCCACGGCCTTATAAGGAACGTTTCGTTCCCCTCTCCAGTCGATGTGGGATCTCACAATCCATCCCCCTTGGGGATCTACGCCGCTTGATGCCTAGCTTTAGTACCATTTGTAACAACCCGAGACTACCGCTAGTAGATATTGTCCGCTTTGGCCCTTTACGTATCGCCGTTAAGTCTCACAATTTTAAAACGCATTTATTAGAGGGAGGTTTTTACACCCTTATAAAAAATGTTTCGTTCCCCTCTTCAACCAGTGTGAAATCTCACTTTCACAGAATGAGCGTTTTGATCGTTTTGATGAACAAGTTACTGTAGTCGTGTTGATCAAAGCTAGAAAAACACCATCGCAAAGATTTCACTATTCGAATGCTTCAGATGAAGATCTTGAAAACAAAACAAAAAGAAAAAAGTTTATTACAGTGATAACTGATTCCCCTTTGTAGGATCAGTCCATGTTCTTCCCATTTGAGAGAACTAATTAGCTATAATGTAAAGTTAGCACCTCCAGCTGAAGCTTCTCTGAGCTGAATAGGACGAGATGTGAGTAGAACAAGTAGTAGATTTGTCGTTGTCGTCATCATCACCGACATCGACACCAAGAGAGGCAGGAAAACCAACCCGAACCGAAATTCATAGTCCGAGACGATGAGGTAGTTTCATTAGATGCAGATTGATGCTCCAGCGACAGCTTCGTCGATTTCGTTCCTGGCTGGTGTTGTTTTTGTTGTGTACATGAGTCTGTTGAGACGGATCTGTTTGATTTTGGCGTTGCACCTTCACCTCCCAATCTGATCAAACAAAAAGCACAGAATTCACAGCCACAATGTCTCAGTTTCAGCTTTCAGATTTCAAGCATTATGTCTATGATGTAGGATTACTTACAGAGGGAACTGAAATGAACGAGAGCTGTTCATGCTGTCGTTCGATTCGCTCGGGCGGCTTCGATGATCATCCACAGATATTATGACTTCTTTTCTACGATTTGTTACACTCTGAGTCGAGATGGCTGGAATTTGAGCTCCAGTTGATGCTGCCTGTTCAGGGAAGACATTCACCACGATTTCAGTTTTACTCTCCACTCTTGCTGGATCAACAAAAGGAGGCGAGGAGGATAGATTCTGGGGTGAATTAGTGTTATTCGTCAATTCTCCAGACTTGGTATAAAAATTGAACTGCTCCCTTGAGAAGCTGTTGTTTCCCACATGAATGCTGAACAATGATTCATTTGAAGCTGTGCTCCATTCCATAGGACTTGATGGTTTACTAGAGAAGATCGACAACGGTATTCGGTTTGGATCATGGTTCTCGAGCACCCCGGATAATCGAATCTGAGGAGAACCTCTTGATGAACTATGGATTCTAGTAGAGTCAGCATCTAGTTTTGGCTGAAGAGGAGAATCAATTTGGAAAATGCTGCTAACAGCTGAGTCTCGTGACAAATCCGAGGTACGGGAAGAATTGGAATGGCTACGTTCATGGATAAAACCATCTGGTTCATTATGGATCATCTCTAACTGCACCTTAGATAGCTCAAAGCTCTTTGAACAATCCATATCCTCCACAATGTATTAACCAAAATCCTGCCAAGTATTCCTTACTACGATGCTGCACAAACAGAGATATGAATGGAGGATTCGGTAGAAACATAACTAAATCAATCATAAGATCATCATTCTTCAGCTTATTCATTTTTTACCCTAAACCTAGAAACTCAGACATGAGATTTAACTCTCGACATTTTAATCCATTGAAACTTTTCAATTTCTTCAACTGAATCCATACAAATCAATTATATATTCATACTCATGACCTAGAACAGATGCAAATATAGACAAATATAGAACGAACATCCACATTTTTGCAAATCAAGCAATTAACCTGTCTAAACTACGAGCCCAAACACGAAAAGCACAGAGGAAAATGAATGATCGTCATGATCAACAAAACTCACAGATAATCTTCGAGACGGATCCAATTGTCGGCTACAATGAAGCACCCAGTCGCTTTAATCTAAAACGCCCCATTTTCTGAAACAAGACGAACAGACGAAACCTAGAAATGGCAAGGAGTTAACGAGACGAGGAGTTGAAGAACAGGGAAGGAGAGAGGAAAAACCAGTAGGGTTTTGGTAAAAGAAGGAGAGATGGAAAAGAGATGGAGAAGAGAAGATTTCGGAATGGTGTCTGCTGCGATCGGTTTATGTGATAACTAATCCTTGCAGAAATGGCAGTTACTTCAACGCGCGAATGCAACGCCAGTGCAAATTTGAGCTGCCCTCACCCAATTCGAAACTATTAGAGATGTTCATTTAACCGATTATTTTAATCTAACCCAATAGAATGAAAGAGTTTTTTGGTTGGCTATACCGTCTCTTATGGAATTATATTACTTGTCTCCGTCTCTGCCCTAACGTATCCTACTCGTTTTATATATATTATATATAACTTTTATATTTCAAAATAAATTTTATCTTCGAACTAAATATTTAAATTTTAAAACTTTTTAAATACAATTAATATAGATTATGTTTACATCTAGATAGATGTCTATAATTAAATATAATTTTTTATATTTATGATAAAATAATTTGTGTTAGATTGTATCTATTAGTGATAATTTTCAATTATTAATGGTCTTATTGACGACTATTTCTATGTTTATTAATTATATATATTTATTAGTAGTATACGTGAATTATTTGATAATTTAAAAAATAGTTTATACTAACTAGTTATTAATAACTTACTATTTTCACTGATATAGCGTAACAATGATCAATCGATTGATATACTCTATATATCTTTTAAATTTTATTAATATGCTATATGATAAAATTAAGTTGGAGATGAGAACGAATCATTTTTTATAACAGTGTTGAAACATCTTCTTAGTAGACGCATTTTAAAATCGTGAGATTGATGGCGATGTGTAACGGATCAAATCGGACAATATTTGCTAGGAGTGAACTTACGCTCTTACAAATGGTATCAGAGCTAGACATTGAGCGGTGTACTAATGAGGATGTTGCGCCTCTAAGGGAGATGAATTGTGAAATCTCACATTGATTGGAGAGGGAAACGAAACATTCTTATAAATGTGTGAAAATCTCTCCTTAAAATACACGTTTTAAAACCAGGAGACTAACAACGATGTGTAATGGGTCAAAATGGACAATATATGCTAACGGTCGATTTGGACTATTATGAATAAACACATACATGATCAATGATAGACACTCGTCACTAATAGATCTCAATCATTGAGTGGTTTATTGCTCGTAAATCTATAAATTGAAATGAGCAGTGAACTACAAGAAATAAATTAGTAATTTAATAAGATATTAATATAAAATTAAAAAAAAATTATTAAAGAAGTATAAATTAATTTAAGATGATTCAAGTAGTCTAATAAAGTTAAATTTTGTAGACCGAATTATTGAAAATTGATCACGGAAAACAGTAGGGCCAAATTTGTAATTTTGTGAAAAAAAGAAACAAACGAAAGGGCAAAAAGGACATTCATGCCATACCCGTCCTTTGAAAGACACGTGGAGATTCTTGGCGGTAATAAAAAACTGACAACTCGCTTTTTAACCATGCAATTTGACTTTTCTGCCCCCATTCCCACGTTCGAAACCGAAAGTGACCATAACTCCCATTCCCTTTTTTAACTATCCTTTTCTTTTTAGTTCTTTTTAAATTGATTTGTCCCTTCCTTAAAAAAAAAAAAAAAAAAAAATTTAATTTCATAACATAAATTTAATATATATTTTTGAAAATATCTATTTTTTTAAAATAATATCTGAATTTAAGTTCGATTTTCTGTAATATTTTTATTAAAATTTAAGCTCTTTTGTATATTTAAAAATATTATTAAAATTGATAAATTTCAGATAAAAAAATAAAAATTAAATTTATTTCTATATATATTTTAAATTTTATAGGGCATATTATGATTTTTTTTGCCTTTTATTCTCTCTTTTCTCCCCACTTTTTTCTATTCTTTTCTTTATAATTTTCTTTTTTGTTTTAAAAAGTTGCATTGCCACAACAGAAACCAAATTAGGCTTGAAATAAATAAAAAATTGTTGTTTTTATCAATATTCATTTAATTTGTATTTAAAATCAATTTATTTTGGCAATATTGTGGTAATTTGATTATTATAAAAATAATTCGAATAAAACTCAGGCAAATAAAATAAAAAAAAAGAAAAAAAATTCATCCCATCCAATAAAATTTATCTAATTGTTTTTAATCTGAGTTGAATTCTAATATATAAAATTTTATTTTAAATAATGAAATTTTTTATATAACACTTTAACATCTTAATCTAATATATATATATATATATATATATATATATATAAATCGGGATTGAAGAAATTTTTTATCATATACTTTATATATTCTTATTTGAAATTTAAAATTTAGTTTCAACGTCATTATTATTATTTAAATTGAGAATTTAAATTTTTAATTTTTTTAAGTTGAAAATATATTTTAAAATTACGCTCAATAAGTTATTTTAGTATCTACTAAATTAATTTTTTAAGTTGAAAATATATTTTAAAATTACGCTCAATAAGTTATTTTAGTATCTACTAAATTAATTGGTTGATCGCGATATTGAAATATTAAAAAAATAATTAATTTAAAAACCATAGGATTAAATCTAGATTATTGTAGAAATGTGTTGTATTTTTAAACGGAAAAAAAAAGAAGGAAAAGGTTGCTTGTGTTGACTTGATTGACCGTGATGTACAAATCATAAAAATCAACGGCTATGATCTAAGGCGAAACTTGAGCACGCCCTAAGCTGGTTCCGGGTGTCCGAGGCTAGATTCGAACCCGTAGCTACGCTTTCCACCCGAATTTACTGAAAACATAATGCTAATTAAGCATTATTTAATTCCTTATTCACTGTATTCATCGCTTTATCTTCGGCTCTGATGTCTGAAGAGTCCAGTTTCTCACTCTTTCTGCACCACTTTTAAGCGAGATTTTTAGAGAGAGAGCGCGCGAATTTTCAGTGAGAAAAAGCTCAGAGATACAGAGAGGAATTGGAGAGAAAGAGAGAGTTCGGGACATTTGAAACAGTTGTTGATTTCGAAGCTAGAAGAAGAATTGCAATTTCATCTCAAAGCGTGGAAAGAGAGAGAGGCGAGAAAGTACAGGGCCTTCAATTCTGCAATTACAACACTCATACAAGAACAACAATACTACAGCTTCCTGGCTCTCGAGAATTCATAATTCTGTTGCTCAGATCACGCCTTCCAGCTTGCCACTGTGCTCCTTAGCTCCTTAACCTTGTGGGTTTTTGTTTAATTCTGATTTTTTCCTCCTCGTCTTGTTTCCTACTTCGTTGCTAATTGTGAACAGTATGTGGTTCCTCTTTGAAATCAGCAAACGAATAGTTCTTCTTTGTTGGCGGCTTTTGATTCTGTTGACTTATTGGGGGTTTAGGATGTTCGTTAGGAGAGATACGCAGCGATTTTAGGGTTCTGAGCTTAATTTCCGGGTCTTTGTTTCAAAACAATTTGGATTTGTCTGGTTAGTTTATAGTTCATCGGAATTCTTGGCAATTCGTGTTTTGTTCTCTCTGCAAGTGGTCTTCTTCATGTTAGCTTATTTTTATTTTTTGGTTAAAACTATGGAGTTCTGTTAACTTTGTGCTGTTCATATGCAATTTTCACTACGTCGTTGCTTGTTCTATCTCATTTTGGATTTTCTGCGACTTGAAATGGTTCAGGACGCTGCTCAAATGGAATTTAACCTTCCATCATGTCCGGGTCAAGTTTCTTACATGTATGATTATTTTATTGTAATCTTATAATGAATTTTTCTCTACTTGTTTGGTGTTAGGACTGCGATGCATTTGGTGGCTGTAGCTTTATGCATTCATGGTATTGAAGTAGAAGACAGTAACTGGACTCTGGATAATAAAAATTAGATAGCACCGGCTTGAATGGCGATCTGTTTATGTTTATTTGAGATCATTATGTTAGAAAACCGCATGTGATCATCCAAGTTTCGATGCGAAAAAACTGTAACATTACTCTACAAGGTACACCAATGTTTTCTACCTTGATCTTGATAGTTCAAATTGCATAAATCTTTCTTGTCGTTGCTCCTTCGCGATCTATTATAGATGCCAGGTGACATTAGCATATTTGAAACAACCATACGTGGTTTCTTTGACCACAAAAGGTTTTGATTTGCAGATTCTGTGGGAGGATACCAGAGAAAAGATTTCGCTGTGTCGTTAGGCAGAAACTTTGCACCACTGGCTTCAAGACCTGGTTTTTGCAGTGATACCTTGGAAAGCCAACCACCGGATGCAAATGGCTATATGTTTGGAGGGCAAAATTTTCAAACAGAGCACTCCCAGCAAGCATTCTTGGGTGAAAATACTGTCTATGATCCACATTTCTTGATGCTGAGAGGCTTATCTGTTCTAAAATCACATCAAGAATATGCACCAGTAGACAGTCCAACCCTGACTACTAATTCTGAGAGATCTGAAATTACTGAAGTGTCAACTGACTTCAACTTTCTTGGAGGATCGCAACAGTTTGTGAGGGGTCAACAACAGCTAGATACTTCACAACTCCAACCAATGCAACAGTCTACATATAGTGACATGCAGTTACTGCAGCAGCAAATGATGTTCAAGCAGATGCAAGATATTCATAGGCAGCAGCAACTTCAGCAATTTGATGATGCAAGGCAGCAGGGTTCTCAAAATCAGATCTCTGCTTTTGCTAGACAGTCTACAGGGGGTCAATATCCGTCCTATATTAATGGAACATCTGTCTCTGATTCATCGGAAATGCTCATGAATAGGGCACATCTAGGTGCATCTTCTGCAGCGCAAGGAGTATATAATCAACTAATGTTTTCTCAGGAGAAAGGTCCATCCTTGCATTCAACATTGTTGGTTCCGCAGCAGCTTGATGAATCTAATTATAGAACTCCTATTTCCAGTGGACGGGGTCGCATGGGTCAATATTCTCAGCTCCAGGGAATAGATCATGATCCTTGTAATTTGATGAATAAGGCTCCTGGTCATTGCATGGTGCCTACTATACAGCCTGTAGCCTTCAGTGACTCCTCTATTAGTAATATAAATACTGTTAATGCAGAACATTTTCCCTTGACCCAAATGGGTAGATCCAAACAAGGCTTTCAAGCGAAAAGTCTATTTGACCAAACTCCAGTTCAAGGTTTGGATGCTGGAATGAGATCAGGTAACATCCAGCTAAAGAATTCTTTGCAAACAAATGGATCGTTTCCTGAATTTCAAGAGGGGCAAGATGGAGCTGGTTGGCTTGGCGCCACCCAGCAAAAAGTCACCCAACTGGATGTATCTCAGTATTTTGTTCCCCTGGATCCGATTGAACAAAATTTCTTATATAATATGGATCATAATATGTGGGACAGTTCTTTGGGAAAATGTACAAATGTCAATAATGAAAGTTTTGAAACTAACCTAGTACAGTCGGATTGTTCAAATGCATTTCCTTCTATTCAGAGTGGGAGCTGGAGTGCTCTCATGCAATCAGCTGTAGCAGAGGCTTCTAGTAGTGATACTGGGATACAGGAGGAATGGAGTGGATTGACTTTTCAGAATACAGAACTGTCAACTGAAAATCAGCATTCGAACATAGTGGATAGCAAAAAGGAGCAATCGGCTTGGTACGAGAACAGCATGCACAGTGCATCTTCTTTAAGTTCAAGGCCATATGCAAACTTCAATGATTCTGGTATGAGTTCTAGTTTTCCTGGATTTCAGCAATCAGGCAACCAACCCTCTCTTGAGCATACAGAGCATCGTTGTCCGGAAGACTCTCATGAACTAAATCAGCATCCTTCTGAAAGCACTGATGAATGGCTAGATATTAAGAGTGCACAAAAACGACTTGGTGACCAATCTCAACATGTTCAACCTCTTGAGCACTTAAACAATAGCTTTGCAAGTCAGATTTATGAGCAGGCTGAATATGACAGACCTCCTCAGCAGATAACAACTTCTCATGATAATATTAATCAACCACATGGAAATGCACAAGGTAGGATTATTCATTACTAGTGTTTTATTGAAATATAATTACATCGATTAATTATTGTTCATGTGATTTTTGCAGGTCGAGTCGACGAAGTTGCACAAAACCAAAGGGACTATAGTGATTTTAGGCACCTTGAAAATATGAAGCTTGTTAACATTTCTTTGAACAAGGATGAAAATGACATCATGAGAAAAAAGAAAAGTCAGATAAGTGATGATGCTATTGTTCTACAAAAGTCTTTTGATAAAGCAGGTGGCTCGTTTATTGAGAAATTTCAGCTGAAAGATAACTGTCGAGACCAGTACATCTTGAACGAATTAAGTTCTCGAGGGCAGGGGCATTTTCAACAGTCATATCTTTTTGATGCTTCTTTGAACGCTATGAACTTGAAGAAGGTGATTTGTTAGTCCAATGAGTATTTCAATTATTTTAGATGTAATCTTCCAAATGTTGCATGTAATTATTTATCTTCTCAGGAGCACTTAACTGGTTTTAAGAGGAATTTAAAATCGTCAGATGGTACTCCTAGGGGCAATCTGGATACATCTACCAACTTCTGCCAATCAACCGGCTCAAATGGCCAAAATTTATACAACCAAACATGGTAGTCACATCTTCATTATTGTTATTGATAAACTTCTCTCGTACAATCGTTCAATTATATATTTGGTCTCATTAACTTTTTATCCATGAACTTCTGCAGTGAAAATGTGCATGGGCATCTTCAAAATGTTGACCAGTCTAAGGAAAATAGTGCCACCCCCCATTATAGTTCCGTTGGCTCTAGTCCCTTATCTATGATGGCCGATGGAGTATTTCCAAATCCGTCTATTTCTCAGCATCACAATCAGTTCACATCTCAAGCTTTTTCTGGGAGATTGCTTCATCCATCGCAACAGCTATCATATTCTAATCAAATCTCTTCACCTCAAGGGTTACCTCAATTTTCAAGCAATCTGGATCCAAGACCAGTAAATTCTGGTTATGTACAGAAAAATCAGACTCCGTTAGCTCCCTCATCTTTTGTTCAGTCTATGCATCCGTCAAATGAGTCATTGCAAAATGTGCATTGGGATGAGAAGCCACATTGTTTGGAAGAGGCAGAAGCTGCTACTTCATTATTCCTGCCGGCTCATTATGTAACAGATGAAAATCAAGGGAAATTTGCCTCTGGTGCACCTGCAGCAAGTTTGTCTGCACAGGCTTCATTGCCAGGTGCTGCTTCGAGATATCCACAATTTGGCCGGTCTTCCTCTCAAGATACATCTGGACACACCAACAGCAATATGAGTGGAAAACAGTATCCAATTTTTGAGGCCCATCCTATCTCTCAGCCTCTATCTATGTCAAGAATAGGCCAACAGGGTGGATTGTTGGCAAGGCAGCAAAATCTTTGGGTAAATAACACAAGTCAGCAAAACAATGCATCGGCAGAAGCTAATAAGTTTGGTTCATTAAACAATACTCTTGAGGGTACTTCATTGACTCCACTGGGATTCAACGATCAAACTTCCCAAAAATTGGGACTCCAATTATTGGAATCTGACATGATTCCTACAAATTCACTGGATTATGGCTTTAAGGATGAGATACCAGAGCAGAGAACTAAATCTGATGTGTATAGGCAGATGACTTTACTGGCAGATGGGTTGGCAAGGAAGAATAATAATACAAATGCTTTCCCGTCTGGCTTATTACCGGTTCATCCACATCAGCAAGATTTTAATAGAGTGCAAATTGAGGAAAACATTGGATTAACCACCTCTGAAAGAGATCCTCTATTCGACAACTTTTCTAAATTGCCTCACGTTGTTTGTCAACAATACTCGTTAGAAAAAGTTAAACCGATGAAGAATGTGGAGACTGAGCCAAAGGGAGTTCAAGTTGCTCGGCTGGTAACTACAATGTCAAAAGAAAATTCAACTAGAGAAGACCCAAAGCATGGACAAGCTTTTACATCGGAGAAAAACTACATGCTGTCTGAAAATAGAAAAATGCTAAACTTGTTGGCTGGAGGAGCAAGAGAAGATTATCAAGTGAAGCCTTTGTCTGAGAATCCACCAAATACATGTTCAAGAGGTTTTACTTCAGATGGCCGAAGTGACCCTGCGAATGAATTTGATAGAAAAAATATGGAAGGTAATAATGAAGAAAATTCTCAGATCAATCCTCTGCCAGTATCTTCCTGGTTTAAGTTCAGAAATGGGCAGATGCCTTCAATGTACAACGAGCTGCTCGCAAAGCATCCTGGTGGGCACTTCTCTCTCTTGAACCCTTCGGAAAATCTAATGAAACAGTCATCCCTGGATGGAATAGATTCTACAGATGTTAATCAGAGTGGTAGGGTTTGGTCAACTGCTGCTACAACCATGGTGGCATCTGACCTGACAGGCCCGTATGGACTGCCATCTACTCTCACTGATAAAACTGCGGCCATTGTGAGTAAAAAGCGTAAACTTGACTCCTCTGAGCTTCAACCTTGTCATTTAGAAGTCCAAGGCTCTCGGAGGATTTTGAATAGCAGGTAGTTAACTGTCATTGTAAAGAGCGTATTTCTTTAATAAAAAAAATCTTAACTTCGAGTTAAAATGATATCCTCTTTTTACAGTTAACCTTTATTTTACTTTATACCATGTGTTCGTGATACTGTTGTTAATGTTTAGAATGTGTTGTTTGCAGTGTGGCAGAACAAGAATGGGCGCAAGCCACAAACCGGCTGACAGAAAAGGTACTCCCATGATAAAAAAAACTTTGTTTTAAATTTTTAAATGTGAAGTTGCTAACCTATTGTTTCCTGCATTAAATTTCAGTTGGTAAATGAAGTTGGGATGGTTGAAGATGGACACGTGATGTTTCGATCAAAGAGAAGGCTTATCATGACAACACAGCTGTTGCAGCAGTTAGTTTATCCTGCACCATCATTCATCCTTTCAGCGGATGCCTCTTCTTTCTATGATAGTACGATGTACTTTGTCTTAAGATCATCATTAGGGGATACGTGCAGCCTGATGAGTGGTCAAAGAAATGATCGGTGCGTCTCTCTTGATAACAGAAATGTGTATGAGTCCTTTCCATACTTGTTGCTAGCAACCGTTTGAGTTTTGATTTTTTTTCCATGTGTTGTGACAGTAGAGGGACATCAAGTAATTTTTTTGCATTGGTTTAAGAAACATTTTCTCTGCTCTTATTTCTATTTAGAAACAGAGTATAATCTTATTCCTTTTCACCTTATTGCTTCCGATAAATCAGCTCAAAGTGTGTAAATTACATGGAAGCTTTAATTTGTTTCGGTGCAGCATTTGTAACATTTTTCTGTGTGTAACTTTCAGAACGTCCGAAGAACATGAAACCGTAAAATGTACTGATGATAAGTACATAGTGGAGGCCGTGGAAAGTTTCTGCGCTAGAGCTGGGAAACTGGAAAATGACTTGCAAAGGTATGCAAACTTGATTTGCTTTACAGAAATGTTTTAAAATGTACTTTTACTTATATTTCTAGATTCATCATAACAATCATAGTCACGAATTACTACCCCCCCCCCCCCCCCCCCCCCCCCCCCCCCCCCCCCCCCCCCCCCCCCCCCCCCCCCCCCCCCCCCCCCCCCCCCCCCCCCCCCCCCCCCCCCCCCCCCCCCCCCCCCCCCCCCCCCCCCCCCCCCCCCCCCCCCCCCCCCC